AAAGGGTCGATGTGCATTCGTCTGTACCACCTAGTGTCTGCTGCAGGACTGGGCTCACACAGGGTGGCTTCCTTGTGTTCTGAGTTCTTGGGCAGGTGGCCCAAAGCACTGCACACACCAGCCCTTCAATCTACCGTGTCTCCCCAAAAATAAGACCTAGCCATAAAATAAGCCCTAGCAGGATTTCTAAGCATTTGTACAATATAAGCCCTGCCCAGAAAATAAGACCTAGTGATGTGTGTGGCTACGCAGCATATCTGCACAACCCATGCATTTCATCGCAGAGCGGTAAAGACGATGAGCAGCCCTTCTCTTCTGCCCCATCGTGACAGCTACTATCCCAGAGGTGACCAGAAAGGTGTGGGCAGCCCCACCAACAAGGTCAGCTCCCCCTGTCAGGTCCCGGCCATCCTGTGCGTGCTGCAAGCTGAGGCTTTGAGGGGAAAATAACACACCCCCTGAAAACAAGCTCTAGGGTGTCTTCTTGAGGAAAAATAAATATAAAACCCTCTCTTATTTCCAGGGAAACACGCTATGCATGGTGTGTCATTCCTGCTTTGTTAATGGTAGAAGGAGGAGTTACTATAAAAGAAAACACAGAGCAGCTAGGGGAACAGACAGAAATCCACATCAAAGGCACCAGGATTAAAAATGCACAGGGGACCTATTGGAAGAGACTCTGCTCCCGTTTTCCTGAGCGGTGCAAGAATGGTCGTCCACTGGAGCATTGGGGCAGTCTCCGGGGAGGAGCTTCGTCTAGCCCCAGGGGATGCTGCAGAAGAAGCCCTTCCAGCAATTTCCCTGAGGCACAACAGAAAGCGGTTTGTTCACCCAGGGCTCTTTGCCATTGTCCCGTCATCACTCTCCAGACCACAAGCTGGTGCTGAGGCCGAGGAGGGCACGGCAAGGACCCTCAGGGGGAAGAAGGAGTATAAATAACCTGGTGACAGAAGGGCTGCACTGCACTGTCTGTCCCTTTCCTTTCCCCTGTCCCCTTGGGAGACAGCTGGGGAAGGCCAGGACCTTCAAAGTGGCCCCCTCCGCTGTCCTGCTTGAGAGAAAACAGCACCCCTCGAGGGGTCACTCAGCCACTGGGCATCACTGTCCTGTTACTAACTGTTCCCAGCTTCACACTGGAAGCTCTCCTCACCCTTGCCTTGTGTTCATTTCCTGCCTAAGATCCTGCCCAGAGGAGGAGGCCGGTGCAGGCTCGGGGCGAGCAGGTGCTCCTGAGGGCTCCGGGAGAGGCGGGTGAGGCTGGGGCATGAGGACACGCAGCCTTCCTGGTCCTCCACGGCCTGTCTGTGCACCCAGGTTCGCTGTGAGCAGCTTGAGGGCTGGGAACCACATCTCATTCAAATTCCAGAATCTGCATGCTTAGCACAAGGTGGTCAATTAATGTTGGCTAAAAATAAAAGTTGATGAAGACAACGAAATGGCAGGAAATAAAATGCATCCCCAAGCGTAAACTCCACTTCCGTGCAGCCAAAGTCCCGAGAGCTATGCCAGGCATGGTGCTAATCTCTTACTTGAACCGTCTCATTTACCACCCAAGACCATGTGCCGAGGAAATGGACAGTTTACGTAACTGTCCTGTATCTTCCCCTAGTGTTAAACAGTTAATCACTAACAGATCCGGGATCAGAACCCTCCGCTCTGAAGTACTGCGCTAGCTACATCACAGGCCCACACGGCTGAATTCTTGAATAAATAAATACGAGTTCAAATGTTATCCCATTTTAAAATTTATTTTCTCGCGGGGTGTCTGTTTGGGTAGGAATCAGAGCTGTTTCTCCGGAGTTTTTCTGCCAAAGAAAAATGTATTCTGCAAAATTCTTGTTGGAATGAAGTCCGAATTCATGGATTTGATTGAGAAGTTAGAGCAGAAAACCAGTAAACCATTTGGTGGCAGGGTAAGAGGGTAATGAAGTTTTAGGACTCTAAAGGACAGCTGTTTGGGAATGTGCAACTTCTAGAAACAAAAGGTTAGGTAGGGGGCTGGTGGGCAGACCTCAAGACACATCCCCGCCTTATTAGAATTTTATAAATAGAGCACTTCACTTGCCTGGGAAGACGTGGTCTTGGGTTACCTCTCCTGTCAACACTGCCCTCAAAGGACAGGGTTATCCTTCTCTATCTTTCTTTACATAAGAGAGGGGAAAAGGACAAAGATGACGTTTACTTTAAAAGTTCATGTAAATAAAATATCTCAATAGCAAAAGGCACCTCTTCTCCCCACCCCCTTCCTCAGCACTTCCCTCTACTTTTTATCAGACTGATCTTTAACTCGTAAAAGACCAAGCTAAATCCAATGACAAGATTTCCAGGGCTTCAGCCCGAACGTCTTTAGAGCTGCAGGTGAATGAAGCAAACTCCCCGAATTGCAGCCCTTGAAAAATCAGCTTGACACTGCTTTTCATGTGCTGAGAATGCTGGAGAGCAAAAAATAAGAAAGACTTGAAACCTGCTAAAATTACTTACCATATAAACCCTGTGAGTCCTTCCCTTCTGGGAGAGAGAGGAGGCAGGGGAGAGAAGATGCCCCATGTCGCATAGCAAATGGGCTGTCTATCTGTGAGTTCCATGTGAGATTTTCTGTGGGAGGGATACTAAGTGATAAGAACACCTGTCACGATTATTCCAGCTCAGAATTTGCCTAACAATGGGCTGCTGCATCTCTAGCTGAACATGGCATTGGTTGTTTTTGTTTGTTGTTTTAGTTTTTAGGGGTTTTTGTTGTTGTTGTTTGTTTGTTTGTTTGTTTTAAATGGTAAAGGCAGTTGGAGTTTAGTCAAGGGTGGATTGGCTTGGAGGAATCTGGACTTGGGTTAGGGTCTTAGCCTCTCCCTGTGACTTTGGGCTGATTATTTGGGGCAATGAACTTCTTCTGGAGAGACAGGCAAGCCAATAGACTTCTGCTGAAGTACAAGATGGCTTTACCACCTTCAACTTGGTCCCTTACCAGGAGGCCCAGGAAATGGAGCTGGTTCCAAGGCCTCTAGGAATCCAGATGTTGTCTCTATATGAGGGCTGTCCAGAAAGTATCCAGCCATTATTAATATAATGAGAACACAGTACATGGCTGGATACTTTCTGGATAGCCCTCATCTATAATCTTTATCTCTATTTCTAGTACTCTCTTCTCTCTCTCTCCTTCTCTCTCTTTCTCTTCTGTTTCTCTTTTTTACTCAAATTCTTTTCCTATTTTGTAATGGGAAGTGAGAGAAGTGGGGGCAGAATGGCATGGTCACAGACTTTTCTAGCTTAATACTATCCCAGCTTAAGGACCCCGGTAAAAGAAGGAAGCCACTTGTATCCCCATGGGAATGGGTGGAGCCCTGTCTCATGTCACCTCTTAAGCTGCATCTTACACTGCACTTCTCTCCCCTGGCTCTGTATGCTGCAGCCACGCTAAACTTTCAGTGCCTCAAATTCTGCTTGCATGCCCTGATGCCTGCACACACTGTCTCCTCTATCTGAAGAATGGACATGCCACTTCCCAACTCTGCCTGCTGAATTCTAACTCATTACCAACCTGGTGAAACATTCATCCATCCATGTGCCCAGCCTGTCATAGGCTTTCACATATAACATGTTAGATGCTCATTTGCAGCATGCCCCAGAGCTGTGATTTCACATTTAGTTGTATAATTACATGACCATAAGCTCCACGGGGGCATGGCTGTGTCTCTGTTTTGCTGAATCCCCCATTCTGCCATTTAGCAAACACTCACTAGTTAATAACTGAAGCATTAAGTGACATTCACCGAGCCTCAGTTTCCCCTTTTGTAAAATGGCACTAACAATACCTATTTTCACAAGATTGTACCAAGATCAAATATGGCATTGAAGAAGGGGATTGAAAGCTTTTTGTGTACATGTGCTGCAAAATGTCACAGGGGGCCTGGGAAGTCTCTTTACTCATCACTGTAGCTCCACCTGCATATACAGATAGAGAAACTGAGCATGTAGGAAAGGGCTCTTTTTTTTTTTATTTTTTTGAGACAGAGTCTCACTCTGTTGCCTGGGCTGGAATGCTGTGGCGTCAGTCTAGCTCACAGCAACCTCAAACTCCTGGGTTCAAGCGAGCCTCCTGCCTCAGCCTCCTGAGTAGCTTGGACTATAGGCACGTGCCTTCATGCCTGGCTAATTTTTTCTATTTTTAGTAGAGACAGGGTCTCTCTTGCTCAGGCTGGTCTTGAACTCCTGACCTCAAGCAACCCTCCTGCCTCAGCCTCCCAGAGTGCTAGGATTTCAGGCATGAGCCACCATGCCTGGCTGAAAGCACCCATTTTGATTGCCCTTCACTCTGCCAGTAAGAAAGAGGTTTTGCAACACAAATGGAGCCCACAGAAGGAATAGCGAGCTCAGGTGCGTCACCGTAAAGCACAGGCCCTGGGATCATACAGATCTACCGATAACTCCTGCTCCATCATTCTCTGAATGTGAACTTAGGCCAGCACTCAGTTTTATTGAGCTCTGTTTTGCTTCTCAGTATAATAGGGATGATAAATCTATCCGTGAGGAAGCTTTGAGCTGCAGATCATAAACAACCCTGACTTACTTGAATCAATATAGAAAATGTGTTATCTCGCATAGCAGGAAGTTCTGAGGTAGGGCAGGTAGGGTTGTTGAATTAACAACTTGACATCGTCATGCCCTCAGGTTGTTCCCCCTTATTTTCTCTCTGTCATCTTCGGTGCTTGTCAGACTCCCCTCATTGTCATCAGAGTACTGACACAGTTCCAGACAACAAGCACAGACATGACAATGACTGTCTACTGGACAACTACCAGTGGAGGAAGAGGATGTGTCTTCAAATGTGTCTCTAAGTCAACAAAGAAGAAATCCTTTCCCAGAATCCCCGCACAGCGTGATCATCATATCTTATTGGCTAGATATGTGCCATGTGACCTTGCCCAGGCCAATCACTTGCGAGGGTGGTTGCATCATTATAATTGGCTTAGTTTCTTCATGATTCCCCCCAAGGCTGGGGCTTGGGCCCTCTTCACCTGCGTCATGTGACCACAAGAGGAGAGTGGATGTTTCAACTAAAATTGATAAAAATGAAGAGGGAAGGGTGACTTGGTGAGAAGGCAAACTAGCGATATCTAATACCTTAGTGTCTGTCTTTCAGGGTTGTAGCTGGTATTTGTGATAACGTCCATTGTAAATGGTAGCTATTGCTATTATTTCTAACAAGTTCTTTGCAAGACCTTCAAATCTATCTGCGTAATTACAAATCTGTTTGACAAATCATTAAAATAAATCCTCAAAGATCTCTATTGACTAGACTAATAGGAGGTGCTGTTTATAATTAAACATGATGGAATGGAACTAATTATTTTTCAAATTTGTAGAGTTAAGACTTTGCCCAAATCTGGTTCACAATCTTCTACTTCCTCAAGTTTAGTCAGAATTAGGTGGATCTTACTAACCTTTTTATATAGGGTAGCTGTTAAGCAGATGAGCACCAGACTTAGATACTTCTCATTTCAAATCTTGCTTCCAACATTTCCTGTCATGTTGTGTTAGTTACAGTTTTCAATCCTCAGTTTTTTTCATATTTAACACAAGCATATTATTATAGTATGAGGATTAAGATAAATAATACATGTAAAAATTTGTGGAACATAGTGTGTGCTCAATAAATATTAGCCCCTTTTGTTATTATCTGGCTTGTAGAGTGAGCAAGAAGATGAAATGAGATAATGCACCTATAGCCACGGCACATGGTGAATAGTTAATAAATAGCAACTATTATGTTTACCATAGGCCAGAACAGTAGCTGCCTGTATTAGTGGCATGGAGTTTTTTCTACATGTTGATTGGTGGAACCATGCCACTCCAATCATGCTACAGGTATTCATTTTTCAGACAAAACACATGGTTAGTGTTTCAAATTACTGACTGCTCCCTTCGGGGCCTGTCATGTTACACTAAATGGTCCGGTGTGGTCATCCACCAAACTAATAATTAAATGCTGGAATTTTGCTAAAACAAGTTACAAGCAAAAGATATTGGTCTTCAGCCTATACCCAGAAATGAGTGTTTTGGAAACTGTATACTTTATCCTTTTAAAAAAATTGACTTGTCCTTAATATCCCCTAACTGCCTGTGTTTATAGAATTCCTCAATTCAGTGGGCTTTCATGCTCACTGCACAAAGAGTAGTTTCCTTGCATTTCATTCTTGGGGAAAAAAGTATCTTTCGTAAGGGTTTCAATGGATCCTGACATAATTAATGTCATCCTGACATAAACTGCTTTAAATTACTGAGTAGAGAGAGCCTTTGTGGTGGAGAATGACACACTAGTTGTGCCAAGAGAGAAGGAAGAGTTTAAGAATGGGCTTTTAAAGTGGAATTGAAGGAAGATGGGGTGGGGTGCTGCTGGAAGAACTAAGATCAATAATGGCTCACCAGTTTCCAGTTGTGAGAGAGATTGGTGCAGCCAGAACTAGAAACTAAAGCTTTAGTCTGTTCTTCCTCTGTTTTAGCACCCTCAGACTCTCCACTCAGCCATTCTACACAGGGATGTCCTGGGAAGCTGCTGACAATCATTGTGACCTCATTTCCTGGAGCCTCCTCGGAACATTTGCCTAAAAGACTTCACCCAATGGCATATTCAGGATGACAGCACTAGGACTGCTTGACAGACTCCTCTAAGAGATCATCAGGAACAATCAACAAAATGGAAAAAGCAACCTATGGAACAGATAAAAATATTTGCAGACCATATAACTAATAAGGGGTTAATATCCAAAATATACAAGGAACTCACACACCTAACACACATAATTGCAAACAAACAAACAAAAAAAGAAGACAAAGAATAAGAAAAGATTTTAAAAAATGGGCAAAGGACCTGAATAGACATTTTTCCAAAGAAGACATACAAATGGCCAACAGTTATTTGAAAATATGCTCAATATCACTAGTCATCAAGTAATGCAAATCAAAACCGCAATTAGATGTCATCTCACATCTGTCATGTGATGAAAAAGAAAATAGATAACAAGTATTGGCAAGAGTGTGAAGAAAAGGGAACCCTTGTACACTATTGGTGGGGATGTAAATTAGTACAATCATTATGGAAAACAGTATGGGGTTTCCTCAAAAAACTAAAAATAGAACTATCATATGATCCAGCAATTCCACAATTAGGTATATAGCCAAAGGAGGGAAATCAATATATCAAAGAGCTATCTGCACGCTCATGTTAATTGCAGCACTATTCACAATAGCCAAAATTTGGAATCAACATAAGTGTCCATTAACAGATGAATGGATAAAGAAATTGTGGTGTATATGCACAATGGAATATTATTCAGCCATTAAAAATAATGAAATCCAGTCATTTGCAACAACATGGATGGAATTGGAGAATATTATGTTAAGTGAAATAAGCCAAGCACAGAAAGACAAGTCTTGCATGTTCTCACTCATATTACTCATGGGAGCTAAATATTAAAAACAATTGATCTCTAGGCAATGTTGAAAAGTGGATGGTAAAATAAAAAAACAAAAAACCTACCTTCCTATGCCTCCTCCACTGTTGCCTTCACTCTTCCTTTTTCCCATCTCCTCAATCTTTACCTCTTTATTGGGTCATCCCCATCAGCATACAGACTTGTTGTGGAATGTTTCCTGGGACTGGCTTCTCTCATGACTCGGGTGTCGACTCACTGAACTCCTTGGAAATGTTCTGCTTGACCCTCTTGTTTAAATAACCCTTGCTTCCTCTGCAGTCAATGCTGTTCACACCTGCGACTTTGTTTTACTTTCTGTATAGTACTTACCACTCTATATCATTATCCTTTACGTAATTAATTTAGTTTGTTGTTTATAGTATCTCTCACCCAATAGACTATAAGTCCCGTGAGAGCAGAGATACTGCTTGTCTAATTCAAAGCTCCATCCTCAGAGTGTGGAATGGTGTTAAAAGTTGGTGGTGCTCAGTAAATATCTGATGATGAAATAAATGAATGGTGTCATTTATTTGAGAACACCCTTCTCCTGAACTCTCATATTGCTGTTACTCTCATCCCAATTCTCCGCTCCCTTCAGAGTCAGTATTCCACAAATACCATCCAAAACTTCTGTTTCCATTTCTTTGCCTTCTTAACCTACACTAGACTGGCTTTTACTTCTGATTTACCACTTCCCTGGTCAGTGGCAACAATAACCTATCCCTGCCAAATTCAGTGGCCACCTTCCAGGTATTTTCCTTTTAGACCTGCACCGTCTAGCATGAAATAGTGTTTCAATAAGAAAATCAGAGCCATATTGGACAGTGCAGATGTCAACCATTTCCATTGTTACAGTGAGTTCCATTGGGCAGCCTGCCCTAGATCCCTCCACAGCTTTTAATATTCTTGTGGTTTGACTCCTTCTTTGCTAGACTTTCCTTCCTTTGCTCCACTCAAGGGTTTTTCTCTTCTAATCTATTTTTAAATATTGGAACAACTCATGGTTAAGTCTTAGCCTATCTGTTCCACCTCTCTAAAATCTCATTAGGTAAACTTATCCATTCCTATTATTTCAAATGTCTTCAACAAGCTGTTGACTCAGAAATTTATATCTCCAACTTTCTATTTTGAGTTCCAAATTCATATAACAAGTGGTCTACTTGCTATCTCAAATCTTGCATGTCCAAAAGCAAATTCTTGATTTTCTCCCCAAATACATTTCTCTCCTCAGTCTTCATTGTCTCAATGAAGGCACCACCATATACCCATGGCTCACACCAGAAACTGGAAAACTGGCCTGATTTCTCCCTGGGCTCCAGGCCAGACCCTGAAAGTCCTGGCTCTTCCTCCTTCATACATATTTACTATATATTTACTATATACCTGTATACTATACAGAGAGTACATATACATACATATATATATTCCCCCATTATATATACCTATTTCACTCTAAGACCACCCATATTCCCTAGTTTCTCCTTTTAATTAACATAAATTTAAATATAATAAGTCACATACTATATTTAATATATTTCCCATTTCATGAGATGCCCCAGTTTTTCTTTGGCAAAGTAGTATGTATTATAAACGTTACTTATTTGTTTGTTATTTACTGTCTGTCTCCCTTACTAGATAAGTTCTGTGAGGGCAAGACTATGTCTATCTCAATTACTAATTTATATCCAGCTCCAGCACATACTCATGTCCTCAATAAATATTTGTCAAATGAATTCATAGTGGAATGAGAAGATTTTTTTTTAAAGAGAAAGAAATCTGAATTCGAATCCCTACTCTACATCTTAACAGTGTGTCCTTGCATAAAAAACTTGGATAAGGTTTTGCGATGCTTTTTAGACATCATTTTATATATATATATATATATATATATATATTTAATGTTAGAATTGGGTACATTTTTAAAAATCCTCTCTGAGCTCTAGCTTTTCAAGCTATAAAGTGTAAGATAATAGATAGCTTGCAAGATTGATGTGTTTGGAACATAATATGTGTGCAAATGTTTTTTCATTTCCTTCACCTTCTCTTAGAAATAAAAATTATAGAGATAAGGGGGTGGAGAAAACCAAATGGAAACTAGGGATCTACCTTGGTCTCCCCTTTCACTGATAGCAAAGTCAGCTCAGTCCTGGGAGTGATCCAGATATTCTGGGAGAGAAGAATCATCAGTCACGAGGATGGGGCCATCTCTCCATAAGCCCAAGTCATGGAATTATTCGCTGTACAGAGTCAAGCTCAGGAAAAGAAAACAAGACAAACTTTTGTTCTACTTTGGTTAGATATACATCAGAGTGGAAACTATGGGTTCTGTTTTTTACCATTGGGATTGACCCTGGACAATTCCCTTCATCATGTAGAGCTTGGGATTCTGCATCTGTAACATGGGAATGATTGCATCTACTTGTAATGTTACTATTAGAATTGAACTAGAAGAACACTGTGGAGTGCTTAGCACAATGCCTAGAAAACACGCTCAGATATTCAGGACCTGTGAGCGTATTTCCCTGCCCCTTCACAGCTAATTGATCTTTGCATATTTGACTATAAGTTGGTGATAAATGTTCTGAAATTTACCTACAATGTAGGGTTAAAATATTAATAAAAATTGTAAAAAATGATACTCCCTTTTTCTGTCCGCATCTGTTTGGCAAAGTATAAATAAGATATTTTTAATTGATACTTAATTTCAGTTTCACAAGTTCCTAGTCAGTTCCTTTTGCTAAGCCAGTTTGTGTGACCCCGTATTTTGCTGAACTCAGTGAATTTGCTACCATTGCAACTGCTGGTAGAAATGGCCAAATTTTTGCCTGCATGCTCCAAATTTAGCAATAGATCATGACACTTAGATATTTCTTCAGGGAGTATTAATTGTAGGGGGAAAGTGACGGCATCTTATTTAGGTTGTCTGGAAAGTCAGAGAAAGATTATAATTTATAGTTACTATGGTAGCTAATTATACCTTCAAGAATATGCTAGTTGCTGTTAAAAAAAAAGACTTTGATCATAGATGAGACCCTTGTTGGGGGATCAAAAAAAATAAGGAAGTGGAATTTGCCTTCTTAAAAAATGCCTGACTACTAAGACCAAATTTCCCTCTGGATAAAAAGTCAATTGTAGTTGGTTTGTCCAGGGTGATCAAGTTCATACCATGTTCCAAATAGTGTGGGGACAATATTATAAAATGCTAACTCATGTAACTCATGTGTTTTCACCTGTACTCTCTAGGTATCACATGGCTTTTCTTTATTCAGGGATATGGGCATCATTCATCAAATTCATGGCTTTGGTCAAAGGCTTGGTCCAGGTTACACCAGGGCAAGATGAATCTGGAAGAATATGTATTTTCTTACAAACACCCCCATCACTACAGACATCTAGGTGCAGTCTGAGCTCAGGAGGGAGTTAGGGTGGAGGGATAAGAGAGAGAGCTGGAGCCAGGTAGGTCTGGGGGTCTCTGTACTGTGCCTCATGCCTTTGGATGAAGCCCTGGTGAGCCGGCAACGGCAGGAGCTGCAGGAGCTGCGGCGAGAGCTGGAGGAGCTGTCAGTGGGCAGTGATGGCGTGCTCATCTGGAAGATTGGCAGCTATGGGCGACGGCTACAGGAGGCCAAGGCCAAGCCCAACCTCGAGTGCTTCAGCCCAGCCTTCTACACACATAAGTATGGTTACAAGCTGGGAAGGGTCCAAAAGAGAAGGGCTTTGTGTTTGCTTCCTGATCAGGGCCTGGGAAAATCAGCAAGGGCTAGGAAGACCTAAGCTAGGCTCTCAAGTGTTGTGTGGTACCAGAATGGTATGGGAAAACAATTAAAACCTCTCCTGAGAGCAGAGCAAATGGCTAGTGGTAGGTTCTAAGGAGCCAGTCAGGTTGAGAATGGTGCAGTTTATGGCCAGTGGGCTAGAGAATACTACAGTGCTGCACAGACACCAATGAGCAGAGCCTACCTCCCCACCTCCCATCCCCCTTCCTTTCCTGATGTGAAAGCCTCTCTGAAGTTTGATCCACCCAAAGAGAAAAAGGGAGTACATTCTGATTTTAATAAGGTTAAGCCTCAAATGCCTATAAAAACTTATTGATTACATCTGTATCACCTATCACATAGGGATTAAGTAGCATCTTAGAAGAATAAATAAAGATGGTACCTTGGTTTTTGCATACCTGAATTCCTAGCTAGTAAAGTTCAATTCCAGGGAAACCAATTATATCCCTTCAGAAGGGAAAATAATTTCGAGTCCACAGCCCAAAGTTTTAACTTTCGCCAGATGCTTTGAAAATTGTATGGGGGATCCAGTAAGCCCGTCCTCCCCCTCATGACCTATCCAGAGATACTTCCATGAGGTTGGGTTCTTTCGTATCACAACCCACCTAAAATGTCTGCCATGGGCACCCATGGTTTATAGCATAAAAACTAGATTTCTTAGTATGTCATCTAAGGTTCTCAAATATCAAACCCAATCCTACCTGGCCAACATCACTTTAAATCTCTCCGGCTTGCCTAGATTCCAACAACAAAGAAAGTGCCCCCTTTGTAACCCTGTAGTGTCATTTCATTTTCTTATGTTTTTCCAATTTCTGTTTCCTTTCTTTCCATTGTCCTTTCTGCCCTAAGAGCATGGACTTTGGAATCTAATAGATATGGATTCAAGGGTTCCGATGCGGTTCTCTCACTGACTAGGTAGGCAACTCCAAATGGGTTTCCTTTAATACAAATATACGTCAGACTCTAACACATGGGGTGATTTTGAATTATAAATTAGATTGCAAGTTGAAAATTAGTTAATGAATGGTGCTTTAAAAAGGAGGACTATGCATATAATCAACAGTCAAAACAAACCTTTTTTACAATAATTATTTATTTATGTGGCTCGCCAGGTCAGCCATGAGTTCCCTGATGACGAGAGCTCTGTCAAAATCTGCATTGTCTGTCATTCACTAGGTATTGAGTAAACAAGAGAAGAATGCATGTTTGGATGGACATTTAAAATTCAGTTTAAACTATACGAGTTTTAACATACCTGGGAATCCCTCTCTGATTCCCCAAGAAGAATTAATGGCTCCTTCCTCTGGGATCTGCTAATGCTTCCATATGCCTCTTATTTCAATTTGCCTTGCTACATGTTGATTACATGCTATTTCCCAGTTATTTACATCTCACTTATTTAGACATCCCTCAGTAAAATATTAGATGTATTCTCGAAATCTATCTAATTTGAGCTGCTTCATCTTATTAGCCCAACCACCCTCTCCTTGAACTTAAAACTATCCCTAAACTTAAAATCAGAGCCCAGGGGCATGACAGGTACTTAGTCAATGTTTGCTAAGTTATGCTGACAACCTCAAATCATCTTTCCTGGTGGTAATGAGTCAGCAGCATCATGTCTGTTCTAAAGGAAAAGTAGGGTGGGGACAGAGAATGGGGAAAATTGTTGTGTGTGTGTTCAGGAGACTCTGGCTCCGCGCCAGGGGTGTTCTTGACCCCACAGGACAGCTGGGCTCAACATGAGAAGAGAGCTTTCACTTTTGATCTTTAAGATAGCATTTTAAAATATAATGAGAAAAGAATTTGAGATGACATGCATGTCCTTTCAAACATGCCATATGGAATCTGAAGCCCTTAAATTAACAATTGTAAGATGCATTTACTAAATAAAGACAGCCGGGCTTGGGGAGACCCAACAGGGAAGAATACAGATCATGGAACATTGGACTGGAGGAAAACTAACTCCAGAAGAAAATGGCAAGTATTAGCCCAAAAGTCCCAGCCTCATGTCCTCAGCAGGCCGAACTGTACTAACTTCTACTTCCCTTTCACTCCCTGCACTATGTCTAAGTATTGATCATCCCAGCTTCCTGATGAAGCAGGGAGTGGAAGATATGATTACAGTAGCAGCCCTATTGGAACCAGGATTTGTGATTTCCAGGGCTTTCTACTCATGTCTACACAGGTGGGCAGCTGTGATAAAGCTGTAGCAAGGTGATTCCAGGTTCTGGTGAAGGATGCTCAGCATAGCTAGCTATGCAGAATGAGAAGGAAAAAAAAAATCCTATATTCCATTGTGCCTGGGTGGGTGGATAGATGGGGCTGGCTTTGTAACCATTGTCTCTGCAGGTCTTCTCTAAATTCTTTCAAGTTCAGGAAGAATGCAGTTAATATCAATGGATTCTCACCAAACCTTCCACCCACAGTCACCTCTCTGAACACCCAACATGGCTCTTCTACACAAATTCTTATCCAGAACTGAGCCACCAAAATTGGATGGTTTTCTGATGTAAATAAAAGTAATTAGGACAAGAGCCTAGGATGGCTAGATAATGAGACTTCCCCTCCAGAATATTTGTAAAGTGCCATCCTCAGTGCTTTACACAGGGGTAAAGAAAGTAGAAAATACGCAGAAAAAGAAATCTGCAGGGCCTCACAAATGCCAGGTACTTAGAGCTCTCCATGAAAAAGGGTACCTGTCTAGACCGTGAATGTATGTTTGGAAAGAGGCATGGCCAGATCACTTTGGTTTTACATTTAAGATGATGTTAAAGTCTCTAATTCTGGGAAGATACGTAACACTGGATTTATACGAGACTCTATCACTCATCTCAAATCATCTAGGATGAATTGTGCAAACTCCTTGCGTGTAAAAGATGATCAAGAATGGCCCTGTGTTTCTTCAATGCCTCAATTTCCCCACCACTGTGGTTGGGCATACTTTTATTGGATGGCATAGAAAAGAAAAAAAAAAAAGGAACTTTTAGTTTAAGATCTCATCCCAACATTCCTCTCTCCATAAAAATGTTGAAAGAGGAAGTAGAAAAGGGATCAAACTGTGAGGAAGGAGGTGGGTGGAGGGAGAGAGATATACAAAATCAGCTCATCAACCCTTTCCTCTTGTGGATCCAAAGCTCACAGTGGTGCAGATTATTCAATGTATGTATGTTGTCTGGAAATTTGCCCACTCATGTGAACACGAAGCTTACTGCTTTGGGAGCAGAGATTAAAGTATGAAAAGTATCTGAGATGGGGCAAGAGACAATTCAGAAATTCAACATTCCCCAAGAGCATGACCACTGCTGTTAGTGTTTATTTTCATTTAGTTTCCCACGCCCACTAGGTAGCTAAGCTTCAACAGGTGATGTGATCACAAGGAGTACAGTGCAGTTTTACCCACAAAGGGTTTGACATGTGAGGCAGCAACTAGGATTTTCAAGGATTTCCAGGGTTCAGCTCAGTACATGCTACTAGCCAGCAACCACACCCACAGGACAGCCAAAGGGGAACCTTGGTTACCAAGGCCAGAGACAGGCTGGTGATAATAAATGCAGCGCCATAAATTGCAAAAACCAGAATAGGTCTTAGATGTTGCTGAATGCCTTTCCCCATTTCATTTGTAGTAGGACCATGATCCCTGTTTGCCCGGGACAGTCCTCATTTACAGTAGTTACTCTGGCATAATTATTAACAGCAACTCCTTCTCACTTGCAGAAATGTCCTGGTTTGGATAACAAATTATCTGTCCACCTATGCATTTGGAAAATTGGAAATCTGAGGCCTGAAGAAGGAAGAGGAATTAGCGGCTGTGAGTATAAGAATTGGAATAGGTTATGGGCTGGTTTGTTATGGCCAAAAAGAAAAAAGCAAAACAAATACAACCTAATCACTACACATTGCATTGAAACTACTTATGTCTCTGTTTGCCTCTTTGACTAGATTATAAAGCTGTGTCTTAGCATCATATTTTCTCGATGCCAAGCCAATATCAGGCATTCGATAAATATTTGTGTGACTGTTGCATTTATTAACATACTTTCATGTCCATGATCCCATTCCATTTTCCATTGACAATAATATCCATTGTGAGACAGATATCATTAAATAAAGATGAGAAAACTGAAGTCTGGGTTGTTAAACACCAGGAAGTTAATAGCGAAACCACCAAAACCCAGGTCGCCAGTGTTTCTTTCCATGACATTACGCTCGGTGTTAGAAGGCGTCTAAATGGAGAAGGGATGTTTGCTTAGAGGGATGGAGCCCGGAAGAGCCAAGGAAAATGTGGCAGGAAAGAAACATCACTGTGGGCTCAGAGATTTGATTATTGGACCAGCAAAATTGTGTTTTGGTACCCTGTACTTCTTCCAAGATGGCAGCTCCTTTGAAAAAAAGGAAGTACATCATGTGCCACCAGTGGCGGCGGCCGGGCGGAAAGGGGGGATTTGGATGTAGCCACGAGGCCGCGAGGGCAGCGGTTCAAAGGATGGCCCAAAGCGGAGCTGAATGGACCTCCACAGCAGCACGGCTTGGGGCAGGCTAGCAAGGGTTTCCCCCTCACAGGGACTTCCATGAGACGCATCCAGGGCCCCATTCAAGAAAATATCAAGCCTGGCATTTTCCTGACTGTTTACTTAAAAAAAAAAAAAAAATTAAGGCTTTTGAAAAATGTATTTCTTGGAAACAAATATAGTTTGGCCCAACCCACATCCCACTAGTACTTACCACACAAAGTTTCCAGTTCTAGCCCCAGGCCACAGTACCACTGTACCATGAAGGGTGATATTTTATTTATTTAATTTCTGTCCTTAAAAAAAAAAAAAATCCCTCCACATTAGCTCCTTGAGCAACTAGTTGGTTTGTACTCTTTTGTTTCGACATTGTATCCTTGCCATGGACCCATTAAGTCAGTGTTTTGTTTGCTCACTTCCACGAAACCTTATTATTATTATTATTATTATTTAGTAATATAATAAATGCTACCTGATTTGGAGCTATAAATGCCCCCGGGGACCATCGGGAGCCTCCTTGACTTCTTCCTGGACCAGATGCCATCACTGTTCAGCCTGGTGTAGGCCACCCTAGGAAAGAAGAGATGTGCACACTTGTTCAGATGGGAGCCAGACAAACACCAGAGGGGCACCTTTCCTCCTGCCTCAAAGTGCCCAGTGTGGATTGCAACCTCTCTCCTCTTCCCCACTTTCCACTCCCCCTGCACCACCTTGAGCAAATATCTAGCAACCCGATGTAGAGTTATCAGGAGCAACCAAAGAAGAATCCCAATAAACACCTTGACTCAAATGTCAATCTTCAACAATTGGCATTTAAGGAGCTCCATCGACATTAAGGGAACTAACAGGGTTGCCGTGGTATTCCTCCCAGGCAGTAGAGGGCACTGTGGGCCCACACTCTCAGAAGGCCTTCTAGTGCCTCAGAAAGCTGACCACAGTTAATAGGAACGTCCTGTGTGGTTGCTATCCCTACAAGTGCTGCCTTCCTATCAAGTGGTCTCTTTGGTCCCTGTTGCTGCCATGATTCTATGGAAGAAGCAACAATGACACCAATAGAAGATAAGTATTCTTTCTTTTACTTTCTTCTTCCAGAAGCAGTCTACTTGGGTGGGTAGGGACATGGACTTTGGAAACATGCAGACTTCCACTCAAATCCTGAGTCTGCCATTTCCTGGGTGTCTGACCTTGTGTCCCAATTTCTCTGGGTCTAGCTTTCCTCATTGGGAAGGTGGAAATATACATCATTAACTGGATTGTGCTGAGGATTGAGTGAGATTGTATAAATGGATGTCTTCAGCATAGACACTGGCAATCAGTGGTGGCTGTTATTATTATTACACTTATAATTACTGGTTTTGTAATATAATCAGGTGTGTGGGTGGCCATGCCCAAGCCCAGAGCCCTTCTCCACCCCATGTTCTCTGAGGCCCCACCTTCTTATGTCTTTCTCCTGTTTAACACTTTGTCATCCCAACCCCACACAAGGGTTTAGTTAGTGCCAGCAACATTCCTAAGAGTGTTGAAGGAGAAGTGCCATAGGGCAGAGATGACATCTTGTCATAGGTAGCAACGATAAGTCAGGTGGGCCTTGGGTTATTTTGAAGGTGTAAGGGATCAGTCCAAGCACAGGGATGCTCATGCTCACTGCAGGCTCAGGATTCAGAGTCAATACATAGTTACAGGGTGCCTCACCAGGAATGCTATGGATGGGTGTGCAGATTGTGCACTGCATGGTAGTCTATCATCAAACTATGGCCTGAATCTGATCTGTTGTCTATTTTTATAAATAAGGTTTTATGGTAATATAGTCTCATCCATTCATCTAACCTATTGTTCATAGCTACTTCTGCACTACAATGGCAGAGTGAAATGGAGACCATATGGCTCTCAAACCTTAAAGTATTTATTATCTGGCTCTGTACAGACAAAGTTTGCAGGCCTCGGGGCTTAGTTTTTGGAACTAGTATCTTATACATAGTAGATGCTCAAAACATGGTTGTTGAATGGATGAATGAATGAATGCAGGAATGGAGAATTAAATACCAGCTCAAAACAGTCAAGCATTAATTCTAAAGAAGTTTTAGTGGAAAAGATGAAAAACAAATGAAACAAACTCAGCAATGAAGACATGTAGGTTCTAGTTCCTACTCTGCCTGTGATTAGTTTGTGTGGCCTTATATTAATCACTTCCCATCTCTGTATCTCAGTTTCTCCAACTGCAAAATGGGAACCCGAAGCCCATTTTATGGGGGCTACAATGGGGAATAAAAAGAAATCACAAATGTGCAAGCATTGTGTCCAGTGACTAGCACATAATAGGAGCTCATCAAATGCTAGAAGTCAAAGCAGAGAGAAAGAGAACTCCTTTGCTGCCGAATAAAATATATGCCCTGTCACACAGGAGTAAACAGAGTAATTCATACATTTAATTGGCAGATGTCACGGAAAAAGCTTCAAGGAGCATTCTACACAAAGACTCCCAGGCTAGTTTGTGTTCAAACAAACCAGACAGCCAACCCACAGCCGGAGCCAGAAGCCAAATATTTCAGACACCATCAGGGCTGGCTGCTTCGAGCTAGGCTGTTCTGCATGCGGCTGGAGCCAGGCCACAGGAAGTGCTCGGCGCTGGCTCTGCAGAGCCCAGCAAGGCTTCAGCATTTTCACGATCCCCTGGGTAGACCACTACTCAGATAAGGGACGTGGGGAGAGGGGAAGGGGGATCTCCATTTATAGGCGCAGCTGCCGTCCCAGCTAGACAAGAACATACAGCTGTTGGGGGCTGTCTCTGGACTAGCATGCCTTTTGTTTCCATGTTCTCCTGGGGTGGGGCTGGGGTTTGGGGCAGGGGGTGGGGGGTGGAAGTCTATCATAATGTTTGCCTTGGGGGATGTTTTGCCGCATCTCCGCCCAGATCTCATTTTATGGTGTGTGGAGTTTTATGGACCAATTTAACATGGGAGAGGAGACGAGAAGGCTGATGTGTGAACTGAAGTTGAAGAGTCATAAATTCAAAGGAAAATTATTCCAGAATTATGAGCCCTGCTTACCAGTGTCCAAGGGTAATAGCCACTGTTCGGTGGCAGGGGTTGGACTTGCAAAGTTATTTCAGGGGCCATTTGAAGGACAAGCACCCTTTCATTTCATTTGGATGGGTAAATATTTTTAAATGGGGTCTCCTAAATATGTTGGGATCCAGCCAAAGTCCCCAAATTCTGGGAGCCCTGAACACCCAAGTAACTCTTTTCCCAAGACAGTTCATTTAAGAAGTCTAAAATCTGACAGAATATGATTTACACTTTATCTGCACAAAATACAACCAGACCTACTGTTTGGTTTGAACTCGAGACCCGAGGAGATTTCTGAAAGCCTTTTGATGATGAGACATTGGATAAAGTATAATAAAGTCAACTTCCAAAGTTCCCACAGGATACAAAGCAGAAAAAAAGATACTTTGATGAAATCTTGGTCTCACAAATTTCTCTGTTTGTTGCAATAGCCTAGGAACCTGTGGATTTTTTTGCACAGAACTGCGGAGAGACCAGAAAATAAAAGGGCTGGATAAGGCAGAAGCGATCCAGCCCAAAAGCATATACAACTGTTTGCTCATATTCATGTTTCTAAACACCTGGAGGGGGGGATACCCGAGAGCTTTCAGGATTGTAATGAGGAAATAGAAAGTCATTGTCAAGTCTGAGCATTATTGCAACACCCCACCCCCGCCAGAATACCTGTTGCCTGTGACCATGTACCGTTGGCTTTTCCAGGGTCCTTTCTTGTAGGCATCTGATTTCCGCTGATTTTTCAACAACAGTCCCAGCAGTTTCTCTAAACATAACATCCCTCAAATGTCTCACACCAAATACATCATAATTAATATTCTCTGCAGCTATGAAAAACCTTGTCCCTTCCTATGTCTGCGGGCTGCTGTTTGACAGCGTTGGGCCGCCCTCATGCAAAATGAATAGTGGAACTACTGAAAATCTAGACAGTAAGAAGATGCTCGCTGCTGTTACCGTAGCCTCAGGCCTGACTTGAAAAGCCCTCTGCCAAGGCCCTTTCCTTCCTAAACTCTTGGCCTCAGATTTCCATGCAAGAAGAGCTGTATATTTTGCCATGATCAGAGGTGTTGGCTTAGGTTGGCACAAAGTCATTTCTCTTTTTTTTTAAAAAATGTTACCATCCATCCATCCCTACGAATTCGTGTATTTTTCATCCAATGCCAAGTGAAATGTTCATCTGTTTGCCAGTGTTTAAGTTACAGTTTGGAAAACATTCAAAGAGCTTGAAATTCAAGCTGATG